TGGACGCCCCCAAGATCCTTCATGCGTAATTTCTTAGCATGAGGTTGAGCAATCAAGGTCCCGGATGCTCCTGTATCCAGTAAGCAACGGAGTGTAACGGGTTTTGGTTTCCCTTTTTCTCGCTTGTTAAATCTAACATAGACGATGGGTTTGAGGTCTCTTGTCTTGCAACGTTTACGAGGTGGTTGGCCACGGACGAGGTTAATGATGCTAAATAAATCATCAGAGTCTAGTTGAGCAGCTTCTAGGCAATCATCTAATTTGCCGTAGTGTTCATCAGTTGCAAACAATTCTTGTTTACTAGTTAGTGAGATATCTTCATCACTTTGGTATGAGAAATCGGAACATAGTTCCGTTGAGTCATCATCCTGGCCTAATCCTCAGATAGAGATTTCTCCATCCAAGTGATTGAAATTGATAGAGGAGTTGTCCTCATTGTCAGAGTCTTCTGATTTGCGCTTGGCAACATGGTTGCGAAGTTTGCAAGTGGTTGTACGAGTATCGTCGATCTCGTTTTCTTCGTCATTGTCGACGAGAGGAAGAATGGGTTTGTCACGCAACTGTTTCTCGAAGTTGCGGAACGCATGCTTTCCTTGAGCCATCTTCATGGTGAAGGAATAGGTTGAGGGTAGCTGAAAGCTATTGTGTTTGTTAACAAAATGCACTACGCTAAAAGCTAGTGTAAAGATCTTTCGAGTGTTTTGAGTTTGAGAGAATGAAAGTTATGAGAGAGATTAGAAAGCTATGAAAACTAATCAACGAGAGAGATCATCATCAAGGGATCGTAGATCTGGCTTCCCGCGGGAGACTATAAAGTGTGATAGAGTAGGTTGCGGTAGTAATCCTACGTATCTCCACGATCCTAAAACGGAACGCGTGGAAGATTCGTCTAGCATGGATCTAGTAGCGTGGAAGTACTCCACGCTGGCTAAATATCTAGAGCGATGTTTCATCATCAACCTAGTATGACCAGAGCGGTCATTGAGAACCCTGTCTCAAATGACTATTCACGAGAGACTCAGTCATGAGTCGAACTCAAACCCCATCTAGGATCGAGTCGCGAATAAGGCTAAGAGCCGTGTATTGCATAATGAGGAAGACGCTTACGGTAGTCACGAGGAGTAGACAGCACCGCACCTCTAGTAGTAATTTAGTTAATTAGTTAATTAATTTCATCCATAATAGCCGACCTAAGTTGCGCATGCGCCACTGGATTGTACAGGTCGTCGAACTGATCCTGTAGAAGTGTAAAGTGCTGGTCGATGGCTTCCCGGATTAAGTTGATTCTTTCTTCATTGGCTGCTCCATTGTGAGGCCATGTTGCATTGATTTGCGCAATGCGTTCCTCTAGTGGCATTGGGATAATGTTGGCAACTTCTCCATCTCCAGCTAAGGGGTGGTCAGGACCAATCTCATGATCTATTGTCGGCTCATCGTACCAATCAGCTGATTCTACTTGGTCTCGTTCCATTCTCACTTCAACCATCATGTTGTGGAGAACAATTGCTGCCATAAATCACCATGCGAATGTCTGATTTGTACCACAGCTCAACAGGATGATAAAGCCATTGGAATTTCCTCTGCAGAACTCCGAAAGTTCTTTCAACCATCTTCCTAGAAGACTCCTGCCACTTGGCATAATTCTTCTCTTGTTTGGTCAAAGGGACTGATAAGGTCTTCACAAACCGGGATAATTCAGGGTAGATTCCGTCCACCATAATCCACAAATGATGGAATTCCTCATTTCCAATCGTATAGGGAAAGTCAACGTCTCTGGCAAAGGAGCCGTCAAGGAATGCATGCAGGCAATCACTGCGGTCCCAAATATTAATATCGTTCAGTGTTCCCGGCCATCCAAATTGGCTATGCCAGATGCACAAAGAGCTATCAGAAACTGCCTCAAATACAATACTCGGAAAGCCTTCCTTTCCCTCATATTGACCATGCCAAGCTGTGGGACAATTCTTCCACTCAACGTGCATACAATCAAGGGCGCCAATACACCCGGCAACTCCGTATTCCTCGGAGTGTTGGAGGGATAGTAATTTGGCATCATAGCGTGACATTTTCCGAAGGTATCTGGCACCAAGATCAGATTCCACGATAACTCTAGACAAATGTTTCAAGCAGTCACGTCCAGTGTTGTCACTCATCTGAAAATAATCCATGAAAGCGCTCGGAGCCACACCGTACCCCAAAACCTTTAATGCCATCAAAACTTTGGCTTCAGGATAGATGCCTGGTTCACCGGTAACCTTGTTTACGGAGTGAACAAAGAAATCATCGGAGTTACCAGCAATTTGAAGAATTTGTTCGGTCATGCCACGGGTAATGCGGAATACCCTCTCGAAATAATGGCCAAACAGTGGCTCGGCACCAAGATAATCCTGCATGATGCAGTTGTAAGCGCGCTGGTAATCAAACTTCTTCCTCTTTCGACTTTCGAGTCTCTTCTTCCTCATTGGAAGACCGTTTGATGGCACGACGGATCGGTGGAAGA